GTCCAGCCACTGTCCCCCCAGGTCAGACCACAGTGAAGTCCAGCCACTGCCCCCCCCCAGGTCAGACCACAGTGAAGTCCAGCCACTGTCCCCCCGCCCCAGGTCAGACCACAGTGAAGTCCAGCCACTGTCCCCCCAGATCAGACCACGGGGAGTGGAATTCTTGCCCACCAAGTCAAAACCAATCAAAGTGGATGACAGCAGATGAGAATCTGGTCAGCTGTAGCCCTGTCTAATGCTCCCCTCACCTCAGCCAGGCTCCCTCCTACAGACAACACCCCCACCCCCCACCCCCCACCCCCGTCCCATAGCGGCACCAATGATAATGTTCACGGGAAGACATCCTAACGCTACAGTGAAAAGCACTGGAGATAATAAAACATTTTGTCAGTTATCTGGCTAATATTTTGTGCGATTGGACGGATAAGAAAGAAACCTTCAATGTTTTTCCTCTCGAATATGAAAAAGCCCACCCTTTCAACAAAACACACCCGACCTGTCATGCAACCCCAGGCCCCTAGAAGGAGCACCGCCGTCCAGCGGGGACACACCTACGTCTCTCTCAGCACCTCTCATGAATACGATGGTTCATATTGACAGGGTCAAGGATGCTCCGGGAGAGAAGGCTCCGGACAGAGCTGCCAGGAAGCTTCACCCTGCGTGTGAGCGAGTGGCACCAGTCACGGGCTGGGGGCCCAGAGTGAATTCACAAGAGGAAAGGAAGCTGGGCAACAGCCTTCATCTCTCTGCTCTCTGAACAACACTTCACACTCGTGCCACCTTGACCTCCCTGCCATGATGGACTGCGCCCTCGGGCGGCGGGGCGGAACAAACCTTCCTTCCTTAAGTGGCTTCCGTTCAGGATTTTGTCACAGCAACAGGAAAAGTAAATAACAAGATAGAAAAACTTTGTCCTTTGGGGAGAGACCGAATTTAGGCACCAGAGGAGTCTACTTTAAAAATGAACCACCAAGAAGTAAAAGACAATTACTAGTTTTAAATACTTTAAAAAAAAAAAAAAATGAACCACCAACATTTTCTGAGATTCTGCCTTGAGTCCAGGGGAGAGCCTCTCGTGCCTCTGGCAGGACATCGGCCTCCTCTTCACTCTGGTCCCTGGCTCTCCAAAGAGAACATCTGCAAAGTCACGAGCACACATCTGGCTTCCAGGAAGCTAGCCCCATTCTTACTGATTCTTTTATTCCTTCGTCTGAGATGCTTGGAGATCACAAAACCACTGTCCAGGGGCAAAGCAGATGTAAACACTGGTCAAACCAAGTCAGTCTTACAGACCAAAAGGAAGACATCTCCGAAGGAATACTAAGGTAAAAGGCCTCTGGCCATCTCACAGACAAAGCACACTCCCATCTATATGTTTTTGATTTTCATCTTGAAACTGACACGTATAGCCTTCTGAACCTTCTCAATCAAAGCAGACCACCGGCCCTAGCAACAGCAGCAACAGCAGCTAATATCTGTAAGCCATTTGCTACATCCCATCATTACCCACGGCAACAGGAGTGATGCCAGAGAGGTCTGGTTCAGCAGCACTCGGGGTGCGTCTCAAAGCAGAGGTCCCAAGCAAG